TTCTATATAATAGAAAAGAGTTATTATTTTTTAAAACATTTTTGTCTTAATAACTTTTTAACGAATAATAAACGACGCCTAAAACTTGTTGAAAATCTCTCGGGGTCACGCCCTTGATAACATATATTAAAGTCAAGATCATGGGTGGGCTCCTCTTATCACCATATTTATCCTTTTTATAACTATCAGGACCTAACACACACACACACACACACACACACACACGCACGCACGCACGCACGCACGCATGCACGGACGCACACATCAGGATTGGAAAATCATTCGATAGGTACTTATAACAAATCAGAAATACACACGTTATTGAAAAAACAAACTCGGCATTTGTAACGAATTACTTTTTAATTAGAGAAAAGCCCCCTATTATGAGATAGGCGCCTAATATGAGATAGCGGCGTTTCCGCTAAACTAATAACGCCATGTTGGTTGTCCACCATGAATTTATTGTTCTTGGATTGAAAACTGTTTAGTGTGGAAAATTCATTATTAGATCATGCCTGTAGTTATTGCAAAAAAAGATTTTAGAATTTGGATGCCTTCAAGTTTCTTTGAGATGAACTTTTAAATCTTGTTTATTATTTAATAAGTAGATATTTGGCAATAAATCCTTCATGTGGTGATAGAGTAAGATCGTACTAATAGAAAAATACGTGATACGTTGAATTGCTTAATTATAGAAGTTAGATGATCGTAAAACCGTAAGGCATGGAAATCATAATATGAGATATCCAGAGTATTTCTAATATGAAATAACCTTTGCTTCTATGTCATAGTGAAAATCGTTGCTAAAGTATAATTAAAGTATTATTGTACAATAATAAAAAGGACAATCCGAATAAACATCGAGTGCTTGTTTCTGCTTGGTTTCAACTACCTGAAGACGAGTCAGCTAGGTACAACGCACCGCATACTCATTTTGTACTGGTTGTGTTTATTTGTATTTTAGAAACATTAAATAAAGTTTTTTTTAATTGCAATACTGATGTACTTTGCATTTTATTATCGATTTCTCGGAATATTTCATATTAGGAGCACAATTTTTTGACTTTGCGATTTGCTCACTTTTTACATTTTTTTAATTTATAAAAAAAATGAAATTTGAATTAAATTTTAAATACATTATCTTAAAGCTTACTAAATTCCCTTCAAAAAATGACCTATTATTTTTTTAAATTCTACCTATAAATTTCTAGCATTTACTCAAAATGAATTCAGTATCTCATAATAGGGGCTTTCCTCTATTTGTAAGGAAGCAAATTAAATTACCCATTATTCGTTACAAATTATGTTTTTCAATAAAAATGCATAATGATGCAAATCATTATCTTTCAAATTGACTTTCCCAAGCTTAGCATTGCACGATTTCAGCATATATATATTAGATGTAGTAAAAAGAAATCCATTATTTTTCCAATAGATGGCTTTAGTAATCTGTATCACGTGTAGACGAGATACAGATTACTAAAGCCATCTATTGGAAAAATAATGGATTTCTTTTTA